CCACCCTTTTTGTCCGGTTTTGTAATTGACTGCGATGGCCACATTTATCAGAGGCACCGCCAATGCGCCCAAGTGCAGCGCGCTGAAATGGCGACGCGATGATAAATTGTGTGAATCTCTCGCGGATGAGTTGTGACCTTCGGTCCATCGCTTGTTTATCTCGCCGCGGGCCGGGCGGGGCGGGGCGGGCAGGAAGGGCGACTCCAAATCCACTCGCTCGCTGCTGCTGGCCGGCTCCGTTTTCATTATCTTCTGTGCAGCGCCCGGTGTTTATCCCCCCGCGAGGTCTGCTGCTGCCGCTCAGAGAAGTGTCATGTCCAAAATGCCAACCCACCCCTGCTTCTCCTTCTCAGAGAGAAATTCGCTGGGTCGCTTTCGTCTGCCCTACGCGCGCGCCCGCCCTTTTAATCCCCTTCACCTTCCGTCTTCTTTGACGGTCTTATTTTATCACGTTCTGCACTGAGAAAAATATTTCTTTTCGGGCACTTTACGTTCGTCAAATGCTCCCGACCCCGACTTTTGTCGCAGCTCAAAATGGGATAGTGCCCTTCCATTGAGTTTCAGTGCTGTGTGTGTAGCTATTTGCCTGGCACTGGTAAAACAAGTGTTTAATTTTGCACGTCAATTGACGTTTAAGATCAAGTGTGCATTTTCTAGACACTTCGTGGTGTCTTACTATATTATACATCAATTGGTGTTCAAACTTCCGAAACGTACAGCAGTTGCACACCGTTCACTGTAAAAAATATTAGTAATTTTACTAGCTACTGGGTGGGGAAATTTCATGTACAAAGGTTCGGGATTTGCAGTACATGGGTTGGGAATTTACCTATTGGAATGGGAAGTATCCTTTGCATGCCACTTGCGCTGTGAAAGGATCCTTTCCTGCCCACGCAAGTGAATTTACTGACTTCATTGACTGCAAATTTCCCGACGTGGGCTAGAAAGGGTCCGTTCGGCACCCACCGTCTGCGAATATCCCCAGCCCGACGAGGGAATCCCGTGGCCGTGGGCAGAAAAGTGTACTTGCGCATCCCACTGCCTGCAAATCTCCTTGCGGCGGCTGCAAATTTCCCACAAATTCGTGACTGCCACAGTGTCGTGGAAGGAGACGTGGGTTCGGACTACTACTACACTGACGCCACACCACCCCACACCAATCACCTCCTTTCTTTAACCTCGGCCACCCCGACGCGAAGCCCGCGATTGACTGCCGCTAGATGGCGTTTCAGTCAGCGCGTCTCCCACAAAATCAGCTTTTTCTATTAAATTAAAACTCCCTGCAGATAATGGCATTTAATTCTACGCAGTATGTTTTAGAAGGAATCACCCTACCCGACAACAATCGGCGTTTGCCGAAAAAGTGAACCATATCTCCCAAATAATCTGTTAAATTGTAACGCTCGGGAGGTCTCCGCAACGATGTCTTGTTCAGTACGTCCCCGTCACCTCGTCACTGAGAGGTACGCCCACGTGCGTATTTCCCATGTGACTTGTGACTTCACGTATCGCTGCTATGACTTGTTCTCTTCCTGAGATCAACGATCAAATTTTTGAAACTGATTTCGGAAACCGGGGGATTATTATACAGTCCAGTCGGCCCGAGAGCAATACGAAAAACTCGCACTTTCCTCTTAAGGACTGTTATCGGAGAGGAAAT